ATACATACATATATATATATATTACTTATACAGAGACGCAGGGACTCTTGGGGGTTCAAGGTCGGAGATGTTCAGGATCGTGGCAGGTCGAAGTCGCCTGACCACCGGAACCTCAAAGAACCAAATGCTAAAATGAGGGCGGTGGGCCATTTAAGAAGAGGGTATTTAAGGATAGAAGGCCCGAAGCCCTTAAGCAGGGGCAAAGGGCCCTTAAGAAAAGGGTGTGTAGGGTAACTACTAGAGTGGTGCATGTATAAGCAGGGTCAAGGCAACCCGGCGACAGAGTCTTAGACCTTGAAACTTGCTCAGGAACCCAGACATCTCGTAGTTGAAGGATTAACGCGAAGCTTGTGGATTCCTCTGGTGTCGTGCCAGGTACACATGACTTGAGTTGCATGTTGCACTTTGCCAGAGCGCTCGAACCGAACGGAAACTCCAGATTGAGAGGACTAACACAAACTACTAAATGTCTCAACGTTCAGGAAGGGTCTTGTCCGGGACGCCTCTGTGTGGAAGCCCTTTGTGCTGAAGTAGGCTGCGCTGAGACCTAGGTGCGAAGGCACAGATGGGACTATCGGACCTGGGCTTCAGCTGCTCGGAGAGTTTTGCCTCATTGTGCTTCATATCGGACAGTATGGCTCACGTCATGTGTAGGGGTTCAGGACAGGGTTGTTCGGATGCTGACTCGACCGTAAGGCCAACGTAAACTTGACTTGCCTCTGCTTGTATCTTCCGGTACATCAGCTGAGATGCTCATGAAGGGATGTCTCCTGTGCAGTCTTCCTTCAGTTTTGAATTGGAAGCTTAAGGATGTCATAGACCCCTCGTGGTTATCTAGTCCGTGGAGAGCCGTGTCGGTTCGAGCTCTGGCCAACAAGAGGCGGAAGAGGGAGCGCTGAAGTTGCGAAGCAAGAACAGCAGCAACGCTGTGCGACAAAAACGCGGCCGCTTCGGAAACCCAAGTGCCAGGACCATCGTGCAACTCCCCATGCCTGAATCTAACCCGGGCAGAATGTAAAGCAGCATGCAGTTTTAAAACCCTCTAGACTCTAGCATTCCGGTTCTTGAGGACCCAGGGTACTCTGGAATCTCACTTGCAAGGCCGAGGGTCGTCCCTGGGTGCGCATCTCTGCCGGCACCTGCACCGAGAGACTGCGGAATAGAAGCCTGAACAGAGTGTTCTTGGGGAGCTTCATGCCATGATTATATGAGTGAACTCTGAGGAGATGGAAGCCGGGCAGAATCATCCGACATGATCCGACCACCGAGCAAGGCACAGGCCCACGAAGCTGCATGATCTCCTGCAGGACCTGCAGGCTCTTGTGGCTCAGGGCGGGGGCTTGCAAGGCTTCGGGTTTGCTGGGGGGTAAACTGTAGGTTTGCAGATCTTGAAGGTGTCAGGTTTGGGTGCAGGGTTTAGGAAGCTTCCGGGAGCAGCATCCGGCCTCGCGTGGCGTGTGGCAGTTTCGGAGGTAGATTCTTCCGACGATGAGTTCGTAGATGGTCCAAGCAGCCTGCCAGCTAATCCTAATCCTACAAGTTCCGATGCCGAAATTCCCGAAGCTGCAAAGCCCCCCTGTCAAGCACAGACTCGCCAGGCTGGCCGACCAGACGTCAATCTTTCTACCGCGCGTGCAACCGAGAAGGACCTTCGCAACGCGGGTGCAGGAAGGGTTCAGAGGACGTGGGATTTCGGTGTTAGGGTGTTAGGCTTGGAGCTTACGAGCTACGAGCTTCACGTTTCAAGACTTTTGCCTGTTGCGTTATGAGCGGAAGCTTCACGGAATCGTCTGTCATGCATGGTTTCCCCAATACTGCGGACGTGGCATGCACATAAGTAATGCGCATTGAGACATGAATCCTGTGAAGTCTTCGCCATGAGAGAGCGGGATGTCCTACTTCCAGTTTCTGCACTGATCGAAACCTGTTTATTTCCAGACGGTTGCTAGACTCAAAGACCTGCGCGGGCTGAGGTCCTGCCTCGGGTGCCCTATAGAAGAGTGGCTGCAGCTCGTCCTGCCATCGAGAGTCCGAGAATCTGAGCGGTCTAGGATATTGTCTGCATCTTGCCAACGCTTAAACTTTGGATGCAGCGATTTGCCGTGGGAGCGAGTGGAACACTCGGTGTCGAAGGTACCTTTCCCGACTGCAGAGCACAAATCCAGGAACTTAATCACAATTGGTAAGCTTGAAAATACCCAGGAAGGTCTACACGATTCTACACCTCAGCTGGCCAACCCCAACCCCAAGCCCGAGCGCGGTCCGTGTTTTGTAGCTCAGGCGACGGCCTCAAGGTTGGGAAGGCGGCCAGGGCCAGGTTTTGTCCCAAAGAGGCCAACAGTAATTCTGGCTTTTGGTGCCTCTTACTATCCTAAGCATTCACTCGAAAAACCCAACAAAATAAGTATAATAACTGATTTCCCCTAAACGGCGCAGCACAATTCCTCCGTAAACCACAGGCTATAAACCAGTGCCAGGCCTTGCCGTGCCGAAGTCGCAAAGCTTCACGGCCAAGCCATCCCAACCTCACGGAAAGCGTTGTGAAAACGCGACCGACAATTCATCCTTCAGTCGGGAATCGGTGGGGTTTTGGAGGTGGAAACAGAATCGCAACAACTCCCGCATTGAATCCCAAAGCCCTTATAGGGTGGAACCCAGATAGACACAGAGCCCGACGAAGGAGAAGGTTGTCCGGCTTCACGTCGCAGTGGACGATGCCAACGATGTCATGAAGATATCTGAGCAAGTCCCCAAGTTTGCGGTTCAGGGTGGTCGCTTCAGGGTGCTTTAGGCTTTGTAGATCGTCTTCAAGGGCCAATAATGAACGGCGCTTGCCCTTGCGACTTTGTGAAGTCAAGACAAGACCAAGTCGAACTTCCTGTGTTGTAGGGTTGGTCGTCTTGGTCAACCCTCTGAACCCCAGCAGCAACGGGCAAATCTACCCGAATCGTGAACTCCACCCAAACCTGGGTGGCTACACGACAGATAGAGCCCCTTTTTCCGTGATGTAAACCCCACCTCGCACCTCAGATCCCCTCGGTCGGCGCTTGATAGATCAAACCCTCGACGTTGCTCTCCACAAAAACGACCATCAACAGCCAAAGTCGGAACATCCACAACAGCAACACTTCGTCAGGCGCACGTCAGCTGTACAGTATCCGTTGAGATGTCTGCGAACCCTCGACCCGAGTAGGAAGGCACAGGAATCCGCGGAAGACAATGTGAAGTAACTCAGGACTCAGCAAGCGGGCACGGCCGGTTTTTTTGAACTTCTAAGCACCAGCCCACACGAGCTCGCGGACCACGTCGAGATGTCCGAAGCGGGCTGCTTGGGCGAGAGCAGATCCTCCGACCGATCGGCCGACCTCATCACTCTATAAGTCTTAGGCTAGATAGTCTTAGTCTTTTTGAGGGATGAGGCGGGGGTTGCGTTACAGGGTCCAAGGCGCAGGGTTTAGGGCTGCATTCCGTTAGATACATTGGGGGGGGGAGGAGGGGAATTTAGCCGTGGAAACTTGCCAGTAATGGATCTCGGGCTGCTCTTGCAGTCTGAAAGACTCCCCCTACACGGCCACTCGGCTTGTAGGGACTCATAAGACATGATTGTCTTTCCTGCTTCTGGTCTCCGAATGCATGTTTCCAACCCAGTTCAGGTGGGTGTGGTTTGGATGCCAGTTTCGGCAAGGGATTGGATAGGGGCTGTTCAGCAATCGAAAGCACCAGATTCGGCAAGACTCCAAAGGTTCGCACTAGTCTTGCAAGCCTGAAATCCAACACATGTACGTGCTGTCAAGTTGATGCAAGTTGCACGAACACCAAACCTTCCCCCCAAGTCCTAAACTCCAAACTCTTTAGCCCGGACCCTAACATACCCTAACCACACCTCTGCACGGGCTGCCAGCAGCAGGCGGACAACTTCCAGATGGCCATAGCCGGAGGCTGCAACGAGAGGTGGGTCCCGGCGGCCCGGCTCAGCGGCGTTTGCCTCAGCGCCTGCCTGGCTGCAACTGGAAGGGTTCCAAATGGTGTTGAGATGGTGGGTCTGGGATTCGCTACAGTGGTTGATTGGATCGCAGGATGTGCTCACTTATGACGCGATCAGGAATGCTAGCACGCGACCGCCGAGACGGCTAAGCCCACATGGCAGCACCATACGTTAGTGCCAACGACAGCCGGATGTGATATCAACCGGATGCCTCAATACTGGTTGCTGGTGTTCTCGAAACACACTTGCAAAATGCAGCACAGAGATGAGGACAAAGTGTTCTGACAGCTGTTACACTACAGGGTAAATGATGGCGCCGGTGCAGGCTCATAGACAATCAACAACACATGCCAACGTCAGGAAATAGGAGCCTCTCTGCCAGCCCCTACACACTGAGTAGGATGCTGATTCCTAGGACCAGAACCCCTGAATCTAGGACCTCCAAGAGGCCCGGTAAACACTCCGAATTCCCCAACCCTCAACCCCGCCAACAGTCTAGGGTCTGAGGTGCGAAGGGAAGTGAAAGGACTTAGAGCCTGTGGGGTTTAGGTTTAAGGGTCTATGGATGTCGGCTTTATGGGAGATCTGCGTTCAAATTCTAGAGGCCCAGCGTAACGCTTTAGATAGTCCTCTAAACAAGGCTCCCTTGTCCTCTACCCCAACGAGAATCCACGAGAATCTCTTGTGACAGATGACACGAACAGGGAGCGTAAAACCTTCGTGGGACCAACTTGACCAAAGGTATCCAAAAACAGCCTGATTATAAAGGCCCCCCTTTGTTACAGAGCCGCCCACAGTAGCCTCAAGCAGCAGCTGGGTCGCCAGGACATGGCCGTAGGTCGCTGCCTCGCGAAGAGCCGTCGCCCCGTCTTCGTGGACATGGTTCACCTTCTCAGGGATGTCGGTTTTGTTCAAGGCCTTCGGCTTTCAGGGTTGGGGGTTTGCTTTTCGGGGTCGGGAAAGTGTTTTGTAGGTTCCCAAACGGTCTACCTAAACCCCAAACCCCAAACCCTAGCGCCCCCAGACCCCTAAACCCCAATGTCGACGCTAAGTTGTAGGGTCCTTTGGTACAAGAACCCCGAGAAGTTCCCACAAGGGATCCCTCAACCAGCGGCTTCAATCTTCTTTCTCGACGTCGTGCCTCAGCGCGGGCCTCCAGCAGAAGGCGAAGCACCTTAAAGGAGGCAGGCTTTAGCGCCAGTAGCGAAGATTGGAGTCTCTCCCAAATGAAGACATCTTGGGAACCATAAAGAACTAGCGCTGCAATAAGTCTTCAGACCCCTATACTGGTGTTTGGGAAAGGTTTATGGTTGGGTTGGGGTTGGAGGTGTCAGTCGGATGTTCGAGTTCCACTGCATTCCGATGCGGCCTCCAGGTGACCCCAGCCGGCAGCTGCAGTCAGGGGCGATTCCAGCTGGTCTGGCCCCATCAGTGGATCGGCTAAAGAGTTTGCGGCCCATGCACCTGAGAACTCGAAATCCAAGGGCTCCCTCGCAATCCACTCCTCGAGCTAGGTGCACTTGCATGCACGTATTCAATGAAACTAGCGGCTCGAAAAAAATGTGCTTGTTTCTCTCCCCCTCCCCAGCCTCTCTCCAGCAGGAGACGCACCAGGTCCACGTGGCCGTGTCGTGAGGCTTCGGAAAGTGCCGACTCGCCATGGTTGGCCACTTCTGAGCAGTTGACTTCGTGCTTCTAGGGCTCATGGTTTTGGAGTTTGCTTACGGTTTGAGCAGTACGTGCAGCATCTCAGCGACAGGGTTATGCCTTCTGAGTTTTTGAGAGTTTCAGAAAACAGGAAGCCCGAAAAGAAACTCAAAGAGCAGGACCCGTTCTCTTTGTTCAATGAAAATCCCGGAGTAATAATGAGATAGCCTTCATGTTCGGTCTTTTTTGCGTCATCCGAAACCAGCGATAGACCCCAAAGCCTACATCATAAACTCTTTGAGCCATTAATAAACCCCCAAACCATTACTCCATACCCTGAACCCTAAACCGAATATTGGGAAGGTTATTGGAGCTCTATTACGGCATCCAAAGCTCCGAAAATCTGGGCAGAAGCCTCCAGCAACAGTTGGACCACCTGGGGAACTGTGCGCTTCTCTGCAGAGTCTCTCTTCTAGCGATCCCAAGCGGACCCGTCGAGGAACCCTTTCATGGCCTAATGCCTAGGAAGCTTGAAGATGTACAGATGGCGGGAGAAACAGGTTACAAGAAGAGCGTTTTGACCCAGCAGCCGCCTCCATGTGCCCACCTCCACATGCTACCATGAGAGGGTAGATTCCGGCAAGGGTGCATTGGTGAACGTCAGCACGGACCTCCAACAGTAGCTGCGCCACTTCTAGATGGCCATACTGGCATGCCTCGGACACTTGCTGACTATGGGCAGATGGGTTTGACTTATTTGAGGCTTAATGTTACCCAGATTTGATTAGGAAATACAGGTCGCAACAGCAGGGTTTATCTGGATCTAGGTAGGTGTTTGCGCTGGTCAGCAAGGTCAGCCCTCGCCAGCCTCGCGTTCTATGCCTCAATGTGTCCTAAGCTGTTACATAGTACAAAGAACAGCTTCTACAATAAGAGTATGGTCTGTGTACGTATATCTTCCCATCTCGGCATTTCTTCCTTTGGGTATGTATTGTGACCAGGTGCATAGAAGAGACCTGAAACTTCAGCTCTTCCATTCACATCGGCCCCAGCCTCAGGGGTTTCACAGAAAAGGACCCTGGCCAGAAATCATGGCTGCACCTCGAAACCCCAAATCATAAAGCCAGAAATTAAGTGTTCAAAACAAGATTGGAAACCTGGACGCACTACGTAGAACTATGAACCCAAGCCCTCGCCTCCAGCAGCATGCGGGCCATGTCAAGACATCCGAAGGCGCAGGCTTCGCTAAGGGGGCCTTCTTCCACGCGAGGGTCGAAGGTGTCAATCTCCTCACTATTCAAGGCTTATAGTGCTTCGGCGAGCCCGGGCTGCAAGATGAAATGCCTGGAAAGTCCCAGGGAAGAACCCACTTTTGACCCCGTGTAAAACTCAAGTAGAGAGCCCTTTAATTCTGGAGGCTGGCACACCGTGGTGGTGTATATAAGATTACGCAGAGTTTGCGAGAAGTGACGAGGACGGTTTTGCCAACTGTAAACCCTAGCCCGAAACTTCGGATCCAGGCGTCTGCATGGGCCTCCAGCAGAAGCGCCGCCACCTCACAGGGGCTGAGCCGAGTTGGCTCAACCCTCAGGGCAGCTTTTGGGCTTTTGGGTTTCCTACGGCATACTATGGCCTTCCGATGCACATCTTCATACTGCCTTTTGCCGTGAGACAATACCACCGCCCGCAGACACTCCAAAAACCCACTTGTTCAGCAATGCATATATATATGAGCCCGATACCTTTA